CCCCCATGTGTCTTGGCTCAGGGAGTATCCCTCTATGTGGAATGGGCTCCCAAAGTCCACACCTAAGCTAGGGATAAGTGCTGATGTACTACAGGAGGCCCCATGGATTTCTGAGGTCTCCTCACTGACACCCAGGTTCCTGGGGTCTGGATCAGTCCCAGGTTGGTTTCCCAGATATCAGCCTGGGGACCAAGAGCTCCCCGTTGTCCAGGTCAGCTGTTTCTGTGGGTTTCACCAGCCTGGTATGGACCCCATTGCTCATCACTCATTCTTCTCTGCAACTGGATTCCAGTTCAGTTCAGTGCTTAGCTGTGGGTGTCTGCTTCTACTTCCATCAGCTGCTGGATGAGGGCTATAGGATGGCATATAAGTCAGTCATCAATCTCATTATCAGGGGATGGCATTTAAGGTAGCCTCTCCTCTGTTGCTTAGATTGTTAGTTGGTGTCATTTTTGTAGGTGATGATCCATTTCTAAACTCTGAAAATCTTCTAACATAATTGTGTTTCTTACTAACTTCTCTCATCACAATTAGTCTAATTAATATAATGGTGGCATAATTTTGGGCTTTTGTGATACACGCAGCTATTTTGACTTACAATGATTTGTCTCAAACAATGCATCTGATTGGTCCTATTTCTGTTTGGGTTTGGGGTTTGTTGTTGGTTTTTTTTTTTCCTCAGATAAAGTCACAAAAAGTTAAACTTGAACTTTCAATTCTGTTTTGGACAATACCATTTCAATATAATATTTTTGCTTTTGTTTTGTTAGAATCTGTGAGTCTTTTAATTTTGTCTTTGTATATATGATAGTGGCCAATATATACATGTGTGCAATTGCATGTGCAGGTATGTGTGTTCAGGTATGATTGCCCATGTAGAGTGGAGGCCAGCAGTTATCATCAGAATGTCTTCTCAATTGTTTCTCTGGCTTATTTCTAAGGCAAGGTCTCTCATTGACCTAGAGATCACCGTTTTTCCTAGACTGGCCAATGAGCTCCCAGGATAGGTCAGTCTATGCCCCAGCACTGGGGTTACAGGTTCATACTGACATAGTTGGTTTTTCACTTGGGTACTTAGATCCCCATTTGATCAGCCATTTTTGTCGTGTTTTGTTTTATTTGGGGATTCTTATCACCATTTTAAAACTAAAAATTAGCTGATATACTACTTTTAGTTTTGTGGCAGAAAAAACAATAAAACTTGAAGGTGTGTTGTGAAAGCATCACTGAGCCTCTATCTAAAATGTTTGGACACTCCTGCATTGATTTTATGACAGCTGTTTTAAGTAGTAAAAGGCATTTTCACCTCCATACAGATTCCAGATTCCAGCATCCCAGGGTAAGGTCTTCGAAGCTACAGAAACTTAGGGAAAGGGCTACTGAAAAGGAGAAGTTGACTGTAATACCTGGAGCTAACAGTAAAATATTTGTTTGGAACAGTTGTCTGGAAAAACAAAACAGTTATGCCTTGGTGACTAATAACACATGGTCCTCTTTCTCTGTTTAATCACTTGCAGGTAAACTACAGACCTCCATCTAACATGGGAGTTTATATTCCACTCACAGATAATTTTTATCATGCAGACCCTAGCAAACCCAAACCAAGAAGTCTATTTCACAAGTCAAAGGTAAATACTTTATCTATAAGTGAACTAATGCAGTGTTTATTTTATATTTAAGAAAGCGCTGAGCCGATGAGATGGCTTAGCTGAGAAAGCCACTTGCCATCAAGCCTGAACCTCAGTCTGACCCCAGGAAGTAGAAGGAAAGAACTGACTCCTGATAGTTTACTCTGAACTCCACCCACTCCATGACATAAGCACCTCACACACAGATACACACATGAGTTCTGGCCCTTAAGCACACATAGTCCACTTGTTTCAATAACCTGATGTGACAAATCACTCAGAAAAATGATCAGTGTCTCTGTGTAAAATCCATACAGGTTTTATGTTTTCCAATGTGTTGAATTCTTGGCACTAAGTCAAAGAGAAATACAGATTAGGTTATGGGGTGTGGGACTTCCCCTTCCCCTGTTCCCTTCATTTTCTCTGTCTTTGCACCATGCTTCAACATGACTGCCCCCAGCTCACTCTTCCTCGCCATGTTGGCCTGTTTTCTGTTTCTTTGAATGTTTCACCTCGGCACTTTGCAGCTGTAGAAAAGACTTTACTCTTCTGTCAGATGTCACACCCCGCTGCCTCCTTTGTCAGGTTTAACACTCTGCTTACAGAGAGGCCTTACCTGACCAATCCATGCATAACCCCAACTCTACCATCCAAGTTCACCATTTCCTCATATTTCCTCCATATCATGTATTACTATTCTATACATTTTATTCATTTGTTTTATTTTTGTGTTCTGATCCCACAAGGAAGAAAGCTCATAAAACAAGACAGATTTCCTTTTGGTTTCCTTTATTTACCTGATTCTGATGGTCAACAGAAAGCCTTGGACATGCTATAAAGGGATTTGCATGTTTTTGACCTTTTCCTACTATATCCACAGTAGCCCAAATAGCACCAGAGTGTTCAGAAATTGTTGAACAAGTATGTCATGATGGTGCACACATATGTAATCTCAACAATTCAGCAGCCTAAGTCAGGAGAATCATGAGTTTGAGATCAGCCTGGGTAATATTGTAATTCTGAGCAGCCTCTTTTAGTTACATAGATAGACTGTTTCAAAAAATAAGAGTTAAACTAATAATACACATTGTATGCATATTTTTATACACACAAAATATTCAGAGGTTAACACACTTCTTGCTGAATCATGGATGAAAGGGCAAGAAATTCTGCCTCAAGTAGTGAGCCGCTTAGATACTGAGATTTCCAACTCCATTTTCTCACAAAGACTAACCAGTTTTGTTACTATAACCATTCTTTCTAGGGACATAAAACTTTTTACATGTATATCCTTACCTTTCTGGAGTGTGTCTCCCTCATGATTTTCCTGTATGCTAAGTAGGAAATGTATCTAATTTATACCAAGAAATAAGAGTGAGATTTGACCCCTTGTTTATTTTGTTTTGTATTGTTGAGCAAGTTCTTGCTGTATAGTCCAGGCTGGCTCAAACTTGCTATGTAGTCCAGGCTGACTTGGAACTCCTGATCAAAAAGCTGATTCAAAGGGCTGAGTCTTCTGACATGTGTCAGCACAGCTACCACTGAAGAAGGGTTTTAATGCAGGATTTGGGGGATGTGACAGTTGTACATGTCAGCACTGTGGTGTTATCAGACACTGGTCAGCATTCTCTACATTACAGTCTTGCACATGTATGATACACAGGATCTTAAAATCACTATGAAATGTAAAGTCACAGGAAGAAAGTTGTGTCTTCTTGTGCAGTGTTTCTGAGCAGAATGTCCGTGTGTAACCCTAAAGGATTGCTGTTCCATTACATCACAGATATTGTTGCATTACAACATCCAGAATCTCACCTCCTGGGCAAGCAGTATCTGCAGATCTATACCCTCAGTGCCTCATATTCTATCATTAATGGATTTTCTTCCCTTGACTTCTTGGAATTTATTATTCAGATAATAAGTATTTCCCAAACACTTAATTTGGAAACAAGTCAACCTATGCTATCTCTGTCTACAGGAAACTGGCAAATACAAACAATGTGCTAACGCTAGGGATCGGGCAATGTGCAACTGCACAGAACATCAAAAGTTTTCACATGCTGTTGCTTTCTCAGATTGCAAAGAAAAGGTAAGACAATTTGTAACTACCTGATGATGGAGTGGTTTCCTATTCCCAAGATTGGAAAAGTGCCTTTTAGTTAAATCCAAAAACTCAGACATGGGGACTAGAGACATGGCTGAGGATAAGGGCACTTGCTCTTTTTGCTGAGGACCAGGTTCAGTTTCCAGCACCTATAGGCAGCTCACAGCCTTCTATAACTACAGTGAATGAATATAGGAGAAAACATGTTTTTCATCTCCCTTACATGACTAAAAAGAGTTATCCCCACAACCCATGAACAATATACATCTAAGTAACTTGTCACAGATTAATAGAACATGAGCAGGCAAGGAGCATTTTTTCCTCATCCAATTCTTTTGTTAGCAGGCTGCAAATTGTGGTTACAAGGAAAGAATCAATCCCCTTATTAAATATCCTGAAAGGTAATCTTATAAGGAATTTTAAAGGAGTTATAAACCTAAACTTTTATACACAAGACAGTCTATTGAACTTTGAATCTTTAGGGTGCATATCATTCATCAATTCTTTCTTATATCAAAAATTGAGGTCAGAAATAGGTGCAAGGAATTATTTAATAATCAACTTTGATTATCAACCAGACCTAGCAAGGAAGGTACAGCAGCTAGCAACAATCAGGTTGTTTTGCATTTTCATCCTTAGCCTAATTAATCAGAGAGCTTAGCTATGTGTCCTTGTGAACTTTAGATTGTTTTATCTTAAAACTATTAGCAAAGCATCTGGTCTAACCTGAAGTTATTTTAAAGCTTTGTTTCAGCTGCACACTGAAACCTGTGACTGCGTCTTTCAGCATCAATAGAATTAGAGCTAGCCCGGCTCCTGGACTCAAATGTTTTCCTTAATAATTAACCTGAGGTGTGATCTACAGAAGTTCCTTAGGTGAAACTTGTAGGTTCTATCTGGGTAACATACCCTTGTATTTATTTTTAATCAAAACTCTGTATAAGCTATCATTATTATTATTATTATTATTATTATTATTATTATTATCAATTAGACAGTATAATTTAGGAAGGGATCGTCTTCATGACAATCCACAGATACAAATGCCCAGTAGAATGGGATGTTTCCATGAGATAGATGCACTACATTACAGGCAGTGGGGATCTCCCTAAACCCACTAACACCATACCAGGTACCAGAGAAAGATAGCCACACCAAATATGTAAAGGCACAGTAGAAGCAAAAGATATTCCAGGGTCTTGTAGTCCCATAGCCATGCCTAAAGGAGATTCACCCATAAGAGAGTTTCCTCCTAGTGAGCTGACACCTTGAAATTAAATTGTCACCTCTGTTCCTCTGATATGGTCACCAGCAGTTTTGATATCCAACCCAGGCTGGCCTTGATTTCTTAATCATCCTGCTACAACATACTAAATCCAGAAAGAATAATTGAGCAATTCTACATACTATACATTTCTTCAGCCCTTCCCTACAATTTATCTCACTGTATTTATAGTGTAACAGAGAAGGCAAACTGAAAAAGCATAGAGTATTTTCTTATTTTTCATTTATGTTACATACTGAGTACACTTTCCCCTCCCTCCTCTCCTACCATTCCCCATCCACTCCTCCTCAGTCTCCATTCAGAAAGGGGCAGGCCTCCCATGGGAGTCAACAAAACATGACAATCAAGTTGAGGCAGAATCATGCTCCTTCTCCTGCATCAAGGCTGTGTGAGGTAATCCAGCATGGGGAACAGGTTCCCAAAAGCCAGTTAAGCACCAAGAACAGATCCTGAACTCATTGCTAGGAGACTTACAAACAGACCAAGCCGCACAACTGTCACACACAAACAGGGGGCCTAGGTTGTTCCCATGTAGACTCTCTGACTGTTGGTCCAGAGTCTGTGAGCTACCAAGAGCTCAGGTCACCTGTCTATGTGGGCTCCCCTGTCATGACCTTGACCCCCTTGGCTCATACAATCTCCACTCCTTTTGTTCGCCAGGACTCCCAGAGCTCACCCCAGTGCTTGGCTGTGGATCTCTGCATCTTCTTCCATCAGTTACTGGATAAAGGCTCGCTGATGGCAATTAGGGTAGACAACAATCTGATTATAATAGATAGCCAGTTCAGGCACCCTCTCCACTATTGCTAGGGGTCTTAGCTGGGGTAATCCTTATGGATTTCTTGGAGTTTACCTGGCACCAGGTTTCTCTCTACCCCAGAAATGCCCCACCATAAAGATGTCAATTTCATTACTATCCTCATCTGACCCACCCCAACCTTCCTCCTGAGGCCAGCACACATAATCAGCTCCCTCAAGTTCCCATCCCACAACCCAGCCCTACCCCGAGTTTTGCTTACTGATCTCTTCTATTTCCCCTTCCCAGGGAAATCCATGTGTCCCTCTTTGGGACCTCCTTGTTATCTATCCTCTTTGGGGCTGTGGATTCTAAGTTGGTTATTATATACTTTACTCCTAATATCCACATATGAGTGAGTACATACCATGTTTGTCTTCCTGTGTCTGGGCTACCTCACTCAGAATGAATTGTTCTAGTTCCATCCATTGCCTAAAAATTACATGAGGTTATCAGGTTTTTGGTTTTTGGTTTTTGGTTTTTTTTTTCAGCCGTATAAATGTACCCCATTATCCTTATCCATTCCTCAGGAAAGCCATACTGTTGACAAACATCAAAGATGGCGTGAATGCTATCTGAGCCTGAGTTACTAACTATGTATGAGAGTGTGACAAGCAAAGTAAAGACATAGTGTAAGGTATGGGGGGGGCAAAACAAATTGAGGGCCACATAAGATATGATTTATCCAAAATAGGCCTAATTTCTTTATAGAGATCACTGTGAAAAAGGAAAACAAAAAGTTATGAATTTCAACATATATTGTGACACACACTCTAGCCCCAGTACCTGGGGAGCTGAGACAGGGAATTGACAGGAGTTTGAGGCCTGAATGGGCTACCTAGTGAGCTACAGACCAGCCTAGACTTGATTGAAAGGCCATATCATAAAAGACCTCCCCTCCACAAAAGTTGTTTTAGGGGTTAATAGATGAGATGACTAACTAGAAAATACCTCTGTGTGGCCTGGTTAAGGAGAAGAGACATCTCATTCAGAGAGAAAATGAAGAAAAGTTCTGAAATTTCACAAACCACACCTGGAAAGTACTAAGAAAAAGATGAGTGACATAATGAAAAGAAGCCAAGTCACAAGCAGGGCCAACTATGACTTAGCAGGGAGGGAGGGAGGGAGGGGACAGAAGTCTCATCTATCTAAAAGTGGTATTGGCAATTGAACCCTCAAGTGACAGCTGATCAAATCCAGTCATTGGTGACTGATGTCTGTAGACTCAGCTTAAGAAAGATGGATACAGGAGCATCATGAGTTAAGGCCAGCCTTGGCTACATAGCAAATTCAATGCTAGCCTTGTCTATATAAGACTGTATCTTTAAAGAGGGTGAGTAAGACTGAGACTTAGTTCATGGTACAGTGCCTGTCTAGCATGCACAAAGTCTTGGGTTTCTTGGTACATGCCTTTAATTTCTGCACTTGAGAGGCATAAGCAGGAATATTTCTGGGAGTCTGAGGCAAGTGTGTTGTATGTAACAAGTTCCAGGCCATATAGAACTACATAACGAGATCCCATCTCAAATAAATGAATATAGTGGGGGATGATCTAGGAGGTGGCTAAGTCAATAAAATGTTTTCTTTGCAAGGACTAGAACTGGAGTAAAATCCACAGCACCCACATAAAAAAACCCTAAGCCTGATGGCATTCATGTGGCAAGAGAGACATAGGAGGATCCCAGAGCCTCAATGGCCAGCTAGTCTAGTCAAATCACTGAGGTCCAAGTTGAATGAGAGACTCTAGCTCATAAAATGATTAGTGTTTGTGGATAAAGTTGGACATTAACTCCTGCAGTCCACACACATGAACACACAAGTACACAAATATAGAAACACATATACATATAAATGAACAAAGATGTTTTGAAATAAGTTTTTCACTGTGAGCTCTGCTGTCCTGGGAGTTACTATGTATTCCATGCTTACCTCATTGTTTTTCTATATACCAATAATAAACTTTCTGAGAAAAAAAAGTCCTATTTACAATATGTAAAGTAAGAAAGACAGGGGAAGAAAGGAAGGAAGAAGAGAAACCTAACCAAAAAGGTAAAGGCCTCTTAATAAAAAACTTTTAAGACAATGAAGAATGACACTGAAGAAGACACGGGAAGATGGAAGTGCCTGCCATGGTCATGAACTGATACAATTAAGGTTGTGAAATGGCTGTCTCACCCAAAGCAATCGAAACCTTCAACGCAATCTCCATCAGAATTCCAATAACATTTTTTACAGAAGTAGGAAAACAATCCAAAAATCAATAGATAAGCTCAAGTACTCTAAATAGTCAAGGCATCTTAAGTAAAAAGACCAGAGATGGAAAGATCACAATCCCTGACCACAATTTATATTAAAATCAGAATTGATGAGATGGCTCAAGGGATAGGGTCATCTGTTGCATTTCTCACCAAGTCTGACAATCTGAGTTCAGTCTCTGGGATCCACATGGTAGAAAGAAAGATTTCATGTCTCCAACTTGTCCTCTGACCTCCACAAGCACTCTGTGACTCATGAGCACTTGGGTACTTACACACAGATGCATGTACACACAAATAATAATAATAATAATAATAATAATAATAATAATAATAAATTACTTAATATAATTTGTAAGAGTACCATGTGACCCAGCTGTGCCACCAAAGAACTTAGTCACTATACCATCAGAGATGCATAAACATACATGTCTCTTACTGCAGTACTCACAATAACTAAGAAATGAAACCATTCTAAATGTCCATCAACACGTGGATAAACAATATGTTGTACAAGTGTACTTTTCAGCCATAAAGGAAAATTAAATCATGACATTTTGAGGAAGATGAATAGGACTGGAGATCATTATGGTAAGTGAAATAAGCCAGGCTTAGAAGAGAAGCACTAGGTTTTTCCTCATACAAAGACTCCACGCTTAAATTTATATTGGGGGAGTAGAAAGTAGAAAAGGAGCAGGGTGTGGGTGGTACAGGCCTTTAATTCCAGAACTCGTGAGGCAGAGGCAGCCAGATCTCTGTGAGTTCAAGGCCAGCCTGGTCTACAGAGCAAGTGCCAGGATAGGCTCCAAAGCTACACAGAGAAACCCTGTCTTGAAAAAA